ACCACTAAACAGAAAATTTCGTCGTTGGAATAGGTTTAGAAAGTACCCCCACCTTTCGACCAATTTGTTGCCATGTTCCTTCTGGCAAATCGCAGCCGAGCCTCTTTGTGAGACTCGGTAAGTCGGGGCAGGACGAGGACGGCATCGCACAATGTTGCTGTTGCGTCTGATCACTCTGCAAACCGTCATTTTGGAAACGGCCGTCGGTAAAGTGGCGCGAACATCGTTGACGCTGATCGTCGAGTTGGATACAAGCCGTCCAATCTGGCGTTCGTCTTCTGCAGTGAGCTTCTTCGGCCCAGATCTTCTCTTGCCTCCATAGGATTCCGGCGAACGCAGGTACCGACTGACGACGGAAGGCGAACGAAACAGCTGGCGAGCAATCTCACGATTGCTCAAACCTGCTGTGTGCAGGGCCAGGGCACAGCATTAGTTTGGGGATTTTGGTCGAGCCCGTACGACCCCCCCCTTTTTGGAGGTTCGGTACGACCCCCCCCCCCTTATACATAAACTTATGAAGTTTCTTCCCCCTCCGAGGAGGAAGAAACTTATAAGTTCATGTGTAAGTAAGCGCGAAAAATAGAAAAAAGTGACAATCCTGAACAAGGCCCCCCTCGCTTTTTGCTCATTTCTATCCTGATTCAGAAAAGAGAATAGAAAAGAAAGGCCATTAGGTTTCACCCACCTTTCCTCGAGTCAAAACAAACTCTGGTACCTGAATCAATTGCAATTTAAAGAAAAAAAAACAGGAAATTAAGCCAACTTCTCCTAAAAGCACTCTGAGCGGTCCAAGCAAAATTGCTGGGGCGCGCTCTGACGCGTATTCGAGTAAACTGATAAGAAGATAAATATTCGATATTCGAGTAAACCGAGAAGAGATAAATATTCGATATTTCGAAAGAACCGAGAAGATAAACACGAAAGAGTAAATATGAACGAGAGCAAACGAGGATGCTGTCTAAACGAAGCCGAGGTAACCTCTTTGAATAACTTTCCCGCGCGCACCCGTTTGAATCGGCGCCGAGGTACCGGGGGAAGGGAATTCTGGGCAGGACCAGCCGTGGGAAACAAATTTTCAGCAAGTAGGGTGTCTTTGAAGGACCATAACTTCCTCAAAAGCGGACCTATGGGGAAGAGGGGGGGGGGGGGGAGTGGGGGGGGGGAAGAAAGAAGCGTATTCGTGTAGAGGAAGGTTTGATCTTCCTAAAAGTACTAAAATGTTCATGAAGGTCGCAAAAATCACAGAGAAATTGCCCTTGGGGATTCGATGGGGATTTTTTTCAGGAACAGGTTTGAATCATATATATTTTTTTTGTAACTCAACATTTCACAAATCTGAGAACGGATTCGAGTGTATGAAGACTTGCTCTTTCTAAAAACCTATTGAACTGTTTCGGAAGTCCTCGGGATTCATGAGATCTGGCGATGGGGATTTCTTGCGCAGTACTCCAAGCTGCGCGAAAAACCCTTTTCCTGTGGTCCGTTTCAAGTGAGCGTGTTTTAATAACCAGGAACGCATGAAAAACGTATCCTGTGGTGGAGCAGAAGCAGAATATGGCTCGTTTTTTTTTCGATCACGCTATTCCGAATCACGCTGACTTTGGATGCGCCGCGCACTGAGGTCCGCGCAGAAGTGATGGGATGGTGACATGCTTGAGCGTAATGTCTGTCCACGCGAGCAAATGTGTCTGTAGGATTCAGGGAGGTCCATGGCGAACCTGTGCACTTTTACAGTGTTTTCCGTTGCGTATGATGGAGCGTGTCCCTGTCGACGCCGCCAGATTCGTGCTCCGCCAATTGCTGATTCCGATGAGGGAGACCAACTGCTGGAAAACGTCTGATACGAACGATATGGTAGTCGTTTGTCGAAAAAAAACAGGTTGGCTCAGCGCCAAGCGCGATCGCGGACACGCCCCATCATCCGCAGCGAACCAGAGTATGAGTTGTAGTGTTTAATCACTTACGAGATTGATGTCGGCTTTTTATTCCCAGTTATTTCAGATTAGTTTGATGATTGAAAGTTTTGTACTATTTTTTTACATATCCGAGTTCTCTACAAAGCAAGCTTCGCTGTACAGGACTCAGCACACTGACACCTTTGCGCTGCTCGTTACTGGCTACCGCCCAACTTTCGGGTTACGACCACCCCCCTCTCCTGGCGGCCAAATACGACCCCCTGTTGGGGAATCCCCAACCAATGATGTGCCCTGTGCAGGGCGCTGATCTGAGCCTGCTCTCGATACGATGAGATCCTCGTGGAGTTTGGTTGATTATGGTACAGGATGGATAGTCATTGTTACATATTGCCTTTCGTTGAAACGGTAACTTTTTTAGGAAAAAAAAGTTTTTTTTTGGCAATTTTCAAAGTGTGTCTATACTTATGATACAGCTTGTATGGAAGCTTATTAATGAAAAATTTCCCAATTTCTTCCAGTTGGCGTGAAAAACGGTCAAATAGGGTTTTCGAGGTATGCTGAACTCCACGACAACTAGACTTGGTTCTATAAGCTCCTAGGGAGTAGCTCTATGGTACTTTCAGAGGTGTGCCTATACTTATGATACGCACTGTATGCAATGCACCACGACTCAGCGGGAGTGGGGTGGCGCTACCAGAGGTGAAAAATTGTAGAGGGTGTTTCTAACATTTGTCTCCAGCGACGAGGAGTGTTGTGGCGCAACAGTGACGAACGGCACCGGTAGTTGGTTTGTCGCCGGCTATGGGATACAGCGGTGGAAATTGTTTTGTCGAAGGCTCTCGAGGCGTAGAGGATATGGCAACCACAGATTGGAACCTGAAGTACTCTGAAACTCCAACATCAATATTCTGGCGCAATATCATCGCGGCTGCAGTCGCGAACTCCCAATTTCGAATCCACGACTTGCTTCCATAGCAAGAGGAAATAGCGCTGACGTAGTTCGGGGGGGGGGGAGGGAGGGGGGACGGGAGGGGAAGGGAAGGGGGAATAACCGCTAGCGCTCGCGTATCTCTTCCTCTAGGACCTCGTCCAAACTTCGCGATCGCGCGATCTGATCGCGTGATTGCCTCTATCCAATGGTGAAGACCATGTGTGCCCTGTGGGGCTGCCTTTCAGCGATTCTCTTCGTGTGCGCTCTAAAGTTGAGTCTCATTGGGGAAGGGATACAGAAAAGCAGCTAAGCCGTCGGCTTCCTTCCTTCCTTGACCAAGCAAGCTCTGAGGAAGTTTATATGGTAAAACTCTAGAAGCCAACGAATGCAGGTGTAGTACAATAACATGTAAAGAATCAAGTGGCAATATAGCGCTAAAGTCGGAACCTAAATCCTCAGTTCTCCCATTCTCTCCTGAGAGCGCGTCCTCCTCCGACGGAGGAGGTTCACGAACAACTAGAACTCAGTCTCTTCAATATTGCCGACTTTCTCTTTTTCTCAGCACTCTCACGCCCCCATGGCGTTCTCTGACCACTCTGACCTTCCACCGTTCCAGCTTTTCACGCATAATAAGGGGCTCATTCATTCCGGTGTCCCCTCATATTGGAAAAACTCATCTCCCGACTCGCGACATGATTTTTCTACCTCCCGCAGCCGTAGTCTTTATTTCCCTGCGCTCTGACCTTTCGCAACAGGACCCTACCAAAAGTTTCAGTTGTCACATAACCGAGGGATAGCATGTCCCGCGTTCTCCGTCAACCCTAGAACTGCGCATGAAATCGCCGGGAAAGTAGGTAATTACGGCCATGGCGACATGGGTGCCATTCATATCCGAATGTCGGGTTGTCCAAATGCATCGAGCTACGATTACACGACCTTTGCTAGTACAAAAAGCTTTCCTCCTAGGAGCTGCTTCGACTCTGGACTGGACGGCAGCTACCGTTGACCTATCCAAGCTTTCGGACTTCTTCAAAGGGCCTGGAGTATACGAAATGACGGTCACCGTAAAGGATACCGTATCAGGAAGCGTTAGTTCTCGGAGCTGTTTCATAACCCTCATGGATGTAACAACTACTACAAAAGATATCTCGACAAGCACATCAAAGCTCGATCTCCAGACAAGTACATCAGAATCCGACGTCCCGAGGACTTCGTTCTATACTCACCCAAGCAGTGAGTCTTTCAAGGTTTTGTCTGCGATAGAAAGATTATAATAATTCTGTAAATATTGAAAAATTATAATAATTCTGTAAATATTGACGAAGTAGCTTAGCATTCTCTTTCTGCAGCGGTGGGCTTAGGAAGTGGGTGCGGCACGAACATGGGATCCCGCAACCCTCAAAAAGAATTTTCCGTTCTCTTGCCCGGCTTTTCACGGACATAAATGAAGCTTCCCGTGACATTTTTCGCTTCGGGTGATGCCTGCCAAAATTCAATGCTCCATCCAACTAAATCTTCCAAAAAGCGCATTCGACATTAACTAGATGGGCGGAGACCTACAACCATGCAGCTTCCCTCATTAATGCTCCCTGTTGAGGAAGTGGAACGAATTAATGAGGAAACCCAACAGTTGTGAACCCCCGCCATTCAGTGATCACGGAATGTGCTGTCTTTTTCATTACGGATGATATCGGGGGCTGGCTTCGGGCTAAGCCCACCTTACTCGACGAAGTGCAGTTGGCAGGCAACACGAATGGTGGAAAACGGTAGCCTCGCCTAACCTAGCCCCTCCTCTCTGGCATTCTCCAGCGTCCGCAGCGAACAGGCTGCACCATTGATCTCTCTTTCAGGCACAAACGCCACCACCGGCGCACCCTCGCCCACAGAAGCTCCACAAAGCTCTCCTGCTTTGTCGTCTTCCACGATCTCAACAACTACTACCATGGAACCGCTGGTATCCTCAAGCTCATTTCCATCCATGTAAAACCTCCCAAACCATTCTGAAACTACACCCCGTTTAGGATATTATCGCTCCCAACGTAACAAACCTAAAAGAAGCAACAGCAGTTGTTGCAACAACTTCAGGGGATTTTGGATGACTTCTACTCTTTGATGAATAACACCAATTCGTCTGGAATCCAACTGATTGAGAAGATCGCCGAACTGCCGGTAGCCAAATTACTCGAATTTACTATGCAAAAGCCGGGTAATTTCACTCGTACGGCCTATTTCAGATGAAAAACCTTTCTATTGTGGCAAATGCGCTGCTGAATGGCGAAGCCGTGGTGAGATTATTATCATTCTTGTTCGCAAGAGTAACAGTTTCCAAACAAGAAAACATCAAAACGATCGATTATGAAGCTAGTGGGTTTCGGCGCCAATATTACATGTACGCTTCATCGGTTCCATTGCGCTCGGGCCAGAGGTGTCGGCTTGTCTGGGGAGGAATATAAACTTGGAATGAGCACCGTAAGTTAGTAGGCTCAGTACGCTTTGGAAGTTGATTTTGCAACTGCGAATGGTAGCCGAGAACATGGCGTACCCTGAAAGATTCCATGCCGCTCATATATTGCACAAGGAACTCTGTATAATACCTGTTTAACCACCAAATGCTCCAGCAATCAGGGTACAGCATCGTTGTGCGAAACCCATAGGGGGGTCGTACTTGGCCGCTGGGGAGGGGGGTCGTAATCTCAAGGGTCAGTCAGCACCGGACAACGCTATGACGTTCCAGTTGATAGAAGGAGTAGAGCTATGAAAGCCTGTTAAAAAAATGAAAGTTTTCATGAGTGTATTCTCGACAGATTTAAGTGCTCCGTTCATCAGCCTTCTTTTCATGCAAAATCCCCAGAAAGGGGGACGTACTTGGCCGCAGGAGACGTGGGGAGGGTCGCAAATGCAGGGTCGGTGGGCATTAAACAGCACAAAAGTGTCATTGCTAAGTTTGATGGAGCGAACGGAAAGCTGCAGATGACCCGGATGTAAGGAAGACTACAAAATAATAAAAAATTGATTAGCAATATCTACAGGTGTCTACAAGTAACACCTTTCCACCATATCTGCGTAGAAGCGTAATGCACTCGGACCAACGCCAGCTCTACTTTCAGCTCATACGCCTTTCTCATTTGAGCGGGAATGTGTTTTGAAGGCATATTGGAGTTCTTGAATGAGTATCCTCATGATGGCGTGGAGGGAGTGTAACTTTTGAGTGGCTCAGAGACTAGCGCGTTGGAAACCCTCCTTAAATACCTTGTCTTCAGGAAAACTGTAAAGCTTATTGGAAAGAGAAAAGATAGGGCGGTTTCAAGACGGTTTCAATCCTGATGAAATTGCGTTCGAAATAAGTAATCCTCGTGTGAAGCATAAAAACCCGCTTGCCATTTACCCCTAGCCGATCCGAAACCCATCCGAAATATTTCACGAACGGGGAATTATCAGATTGCAACTAGGTAGAAAACGCAACAGTAGGAACATTGCCTTTGCATTCATCAAAAGCCGCGCCCTCAAAGAGATATAACCCCCGAAAAGACCCCAGGACGTTGGCAGGCCCAACAACCGCGCTCCAATGACGTTTTTCCAATGAAAGCGGTCGCAACGTTGCGACCGCTTTCATATCGTGACGATATTCTGTCTATTCTGCTGCTAAATTATTTTTTCATTCAGTTTCGCATTTTTTTGCGTTATTCATGTTTCGCTTTATCGTGTCGTGCATGTTTTCACGATTAGGGGATGACTTCTTTCAGAAGTAGCTCCGGTGTTTTATTTCTCCGTCCACTGATTGCAATCTGGGGCCTGACATAATGACTTGGGGGCTATTTTTTTCGCCAATTTTGCTTATCAATGATCACCATTGTTTGCTGTTTTAATAATGGTCCTTGTTATAAGTTGCATCTCATACATGGTTGCCGAACGACGAGTTTTATTTTGAACCCTAAGGCAAAATCGTTGGCCCTCATATTGCCTATAATTTTTAGCAAAGTCCGCACTGCAGATTTCAGGTTTCATTTCAGGAAGCCATTTCGTCTGAACAAA